ATAAGAACACCCACACTTGCAGATAATACCCACTTGACCTGGCTTCAATGACTGGATGATCAGAGCTCAACTAGAAGAAGAAAGAAGAGGAAAAAATGAGTAATCTAATACAATTTGATGAACTTGACCTACATCTATGGATGTAGTAGCTCAAAAGAGGAAACAAATCTTTATAGCAAGGATCATTCCCACCCCCTCCATTCACAGAGTAAACAGGGATGGGCAACTTGGACATTGGCTACCCAAAATGGGGGGAGGGGGAGGGCTACAAAGGCAAGAAGTGACTGGTTTACAAGCTTTCCAGAGGGCATGAAGGAAGGTAGAATCTCCACTGAGTAGTATCCAGTCTGTCTTGATGGGACTGATGAAAGGAGATGGGGATAGATCTCTTGTGATACAGTAGTGAATAATTGTTAGCAGGACTGATTGTGAGGGTTGTAAATGTAAAGGTAGACATTTTGTAGCAAGGAGGGGAGTGATTAACTTTTCAATCTAGGAGTGGAGGTCCCTGGGGACCATCAAAGAAGAAGAGCGGAGAGTGGGACCCTACCCAGAGAAGCAGTGATGCCTGAGATGAAGGCAGAGATGATGACGTGGAGAGATGGAGCAGCTGGGGACTTTAAACCCAGAGAGGGAGAGAGGCTGTGTGCTGAGGACTGGAGGGCAAGGTTGCGGGGTATACCCTTTGGTTGGTTGATGAGTTGATGATGTGTGGAGGGGATTGTAACCATGGCAATGAAACGATACATGATAAGAAAAAAAACGAAGACATAGAGAAAATAAGCAAGAGATAATAGTGATGTGGTAATTGGATTTTAACTTTTGCACAAGCTAGAAATGACACTAGAGGAAGTTCCAAAACGCTTTGAAAATGCCTCAAATTAATAAGCAACTGAGAAAATAAAAGGTTTGACCTTTAAAAAAAAAAAATCACGTATTGCATTAGGCAGATCTGCACAAGACCTTTTTAAAGTCTTGAAGAGCAAAGATGTTAGCTTGAGGACTAAGCTATGCCTGACCCAAGGCATGATATTTTCAGTAGCTTCATATGCATGTGAAAGCTGGACAGTGAATAAGGAAAACTAGAAGAATTGGTGCTTTTGAGTTATGGTGTTGGAGGAGAATATTGAAAGTGCTTTGGACTGCCAAAAGAACAAATAGACCATTTTGGAAGTGCAGCCAGATGCTCCTTGGAGGCCAAGATGGCAAACTTCATCTTCTTCTGCTGTGCATAAGGTCGATATATATAGGCACTGACTCGATGGCACCTAACAACAACAACCCTCAGTCCACTGAATTTCCTGGTTCCGAACTGTTCTGCAGAGCCCTGGTGAGAGGGTGTTAGCAGCCTAAAATTAACAGTGAACTTTTTCCCTCAGGAGTGGTGAAAGGCCATAGGAAGGAGTCTGGGGAGCTGTACTACAGCATTGAAAAGGAAGGCCAACGGAAGTGGTATAAGCGAATGGCTGTCATCTTGTCCTTAGAGCAAGGCAACAGACTGAGAGAGCAGTATGGCCTTGGCCCGTATGAGGCAGTAACACCCCTTACCAAAGCAGCAGATATCAGCTTGGGTAAGACCTTTGCTTCCTGAACAATCCCTCAACCCATTCCTTCTTTGTAGCAGGAGTGGTTTCTGGAGCAATTGTTAATGCTTCACTATTATTCCCCTTTGTGTCTTATTGGATGGTGATGAGCTGATCTTTTCTGGAGCCACTACCTGTCTGTATTTCCTACCTAGGACTAAATAGTCCTCAGGGCTCTTTTGGCCTCCTCAGTTCTGCAGGGGACCATACACCATATCACTCATGGCTAACACTGCAACAGAACACATGGTGGCCTTAGAATAGGCTTCCTGACCCATGGGAGGTGGGGAAAAGAGTGCGGTGGTATTTAGATCAGGCTCCGCCTAGATTCTTGGAGTTCAGAGTCTCCAGCTGTGGGAATTTACCAGTCTTTGGCTTATTTTACCCTAGATAACTTGGTGGAAGGAAAACGGAAACGTCGCAGTAACATCAGCTCCCCGGTCACCCCCGCTGCCTCCAGTAGCAGCAGCACAACTCCTAACCGTAAAATGACAGAAAGCTCTCGTGCCTCCCTGGGTGTTCTCTCAGGCAAAAGAAAACTTATAACTTCCGAAGAGGAACGGTCCCCTGCTAAGAGAGGCCGAAAGTCTGCCACTGTGAAACCTGGTGAGTTCTGCCATGCCCCACAGTGTAATGTGACATCAGCTACTGGAGAGATGAAGCCTAATACGTGGCAGTGAACCCTTTGTCCTGGCTGTGAACCTGGGATCCGTAGACTCACTGCACCCCACTTCTTTAACCTCCATTGTTCTGCCAGAGTCCAGGGGGAGTAGGTTGGATCAGAACTCCATCACAGACCGTTGTTGACTCCTGTCTGGGGTCTAGGAGGCAAAGAGTATTATGTGGTGTTATTTTTTTTAGTTTTATTGTGTGTATTTATTGTGTGCAGAGTATTATGTTTTAAAAAAGATTTAAAGTAGCTAACTTACCTTCTTTTGCTTCTGGGGGCATTCTGCTCCCCTTTCGCTGTGCTCATGGCCCTCAGCCTGTGCTCCCTAGCCCCAACTGTTATCCATACAACCCTTTTGCTGTCCCTGCGTGTTTGATGTGAAGGTATTCAATCCATTTACTGTTCATTCTCTGCTATGACCCTAACTCAGCCACTAAATTCTGGGGGTATAGAGGTAAAGTGCTCAGTTTCTGCTCTAAAATGACTCAGGTGAGCAAATCACTAAAGTTCCATTGATTGTTACACTGACCTGACACTAGAGCTTATATTTCCTCTGTATTTCAGTGTATCATCTCCATATCTATCCAACACCTCTACGGTGTTTCAGGATCCTTAAAAACAGCAATAATAATTTGTTGGTGTTGTCAAGGCGGTTCCAACTAGTTAACCCGTATAGGGTTAACTCTGAGGAGTTTGAACTGTTGATCTTAGCAGTCTAGTGTTTATCCTACAGTGTCACACTAGGACTCCAGCAATAATAATTAAACATTTATTGGCTATCTTGGATGTGTGAGACATAGTACTAAGTGCTGTGTGTATACTAATATAATTCCTGTGAAGTATAGGTGCTAGAATTTCTCTTCCAGGTGAAGACTCTAAGGTACGCAAAAGTAGGAAAATTAGCTGATGATGATAAAGTAAGCCAGTATTCAGACTCAGGAAGTCTGACTTCACAGTCCGGGTTACACATCTGCATCATGTTGCCTCTGAGGCTGTTCTTTTGCTGTTGGTTTTCTTTTAGGGAGGTATGACCTGTCTGTCATTTTAGCCTCCTAATGAACCGACGATTCTGCTTTTCCAGGTCAGCTGTCTGTTGTCTTCGCAGAAGACTTTTATTGGGGCACTCTTAGCATGGGTGTTCTGGGAGTCTTAAGCTGGCTGGTTCACTTACCTACCCCTGGTGTTGGAAACGTAGGTTGTCTTGTGGCTCCATCAGCATATAAAACACTTTATTTCCAAGTATCCTATGTACTTTTCTGGTGAGGGTGGCTCACGGATAGGGTGGGAGATGCCTGCTGGGGATATTTGGTGATTTAAAAAGTTATGTTTTGAATGTTGCTTCAATAGATCACATATCCTGGGCGTAACAGGGAGTGGACTGAAGATCTTCTACTACTTTTCATTCTTACCCATTCTTTGTATTAGAGCCACCCCTTTCTTCAGATGACTACAGACATATTTGGTTTGGCTCACAATGTCTGTACAGTGCCATGAATATAAAAATCTCCCCTTCTTTGAAATTTGGTCCTGGATTGCTGATCATTCTGAATAGTTGACCTTAGGAATGCTCTTTGGCTTATAGTGCCAAAAATGTCATCAGGGACATTGTCAGAAGCTTATGCTTGCTGCAGGGCCTTTGCACAGGCAGTGTGGTATCTCTCCAGTCACTGTGCCTTTGTCCTTCCCAGGTGTAGTGGGGGCAGGCGAGTTTGTGAACCCCTGTGAGAGTGGAGACAACATGGCTGAGCCCTCTGCCCTGGAAGAGCAGAGAGGGCCTTTGCCCCTTAACAAGACCTTGTTTCTGGGCTATGCCTTTCTTCTCACCATGGCCACAACCACAGACAAGTTGACCAGCCGCTCCAAACTGCCAGATGGTCCTTCAGGAAGCAGTGAAGAAGAAGAAGGTAAGGTTCTGGGTGGGGACACTGACGTATGTGCATTTCTTTCCCTCCCATTCATTTTGTGAGCCTGTGTACCCCGCACCACTGCCTTAAAATGTAGAGGAGGAGGGCAAATGGCAACTGAGATTTTCGTCAGTGTCAAGTGCAAGCTAACTTGTAAATCCTGCTTATTGGAATACAGATTTTTCAGAAAATTCCTATCACTGGTTCCTTTAAACAGTGCCCAGGATTGGGCAGTGTTTTGTTCTGCTGTGCATAAGGTCGCTATGGGTACCGATTTGATGGCACCTAACAATAACAAACAACAAATGAGGTAGAAGGGAGCTAGATCTTATTAGTTGTTTTACAGATGAAGACACAAGCTTTAAGGTATTGATTTTCATACGCAACAGTAGATTTGAGACTAGACCACAATGTTCATTTTTCCCTACTGTAATCCTCCAAGTCTTCCAGGTTTGTAAATATCCTGTCAGCCTCCCCATTTGTGCTCTAGGGACATCTGATTGAACATACCAATCTGGGGGTTAGGTTCAGTTTCTTAAGGTCTGTAAACTTAAGAATGGGGTATGCCCAGTACCCCAGGGTGACTTTAGAGACAAAATTCTGGGCCTTTTCAGCTCTTACACCTCTTTCAACTTTCAACTAAATTCATGCTTCCTTTTCTGTGTTGTCTGTTACTTAGCTTTTGAGTGAAGGCTGCAGTGGGGAGAGGTAAACATGACTCCAGCTCTTCAGAAGTGTATTATCTAGGAGGGAGAATGAGCAAATGCAAGTGTATACTGTAAGTGTGGTGGTGTTGTTGTCTAGTGCTGTCAAGTTGGTTCCGACTCATAGCGACCCTGTACAGAGTTTCTGAGACTAAATCTTTACAGGAGCAGAAAGTCTCATCTTTCTCCCACGGAACAGCTGGTAGTTTCGAACTGCTACAGGGATCCAAATTTATCTAAAAAGGCTAACAGCCCAGGTGGAAAGATGTTCTACAAGTTATTGAGTTCTGACTAATGTTGAATCTTCACTAGGGAATTGATTTAGAGAACAAGGTTATCATAAAACTGGCACCACTAAAGATCTGTGATGGTTAGCATTTCAAGTGTATGAATGGCTTTCCTAATGAACTTCACAACACTTATCTCACCAGCCACACCATGTGGAGATTTGTACAAGGACATGGGAGAGGGTGATCAGGGAATTAGAATTATAGTTTATGTTATTTGGAAGGTACGTAGACAGAGAACCCTGAGCAGGGGCCCTGAGTTGGGGACATTGGGCTGTGAGAGTTTCAGCACATAAAGCCTCCTTAGAATACAGAGAGGTACAATGAACAAAAAGGTACATGAGTTTCTTAGCCAACAATTTAATTTTACTTTAATTATAAATAATTTTTGACATTGTGGGGATAGTAATGAATGTCACAAAGCAAAATACATATTGAGTTGTTAACTGGAAGACGAATTTACTCTAAACGTTCACCTAAATCACAAATAAGTAATAACTTGGAGTCCCTTGAGGCTTCTGGGAAGGTATGTCATCAAAACATCATTCATGATTGCTGGACTCATTTATTCTCCAACATCCTAGCCCCTCCCTAGGCCAAGACCTTATAAGGCAGCTCTGTAGATACTGTTGCTTGATCAGGCAGTCATGAAAGCAGACTTTGGTGTAGGATGCAGGTTGATTCCTTAAAAAATCTGTTAGCCTGTATGAGACCTAAGAAACCCTATTCATAAAATTCCCTCGATTCCCCCTTTGCTTATACAGCAAATGTTTTAAATCCCACCCTGTAACAAGTAAAAGGATTTGAACAAGTTTTTAGAAAGGAGCTCCAGGTTTCTGTTAGACAGTATGGTTCTGGTGAATGTGTCTACTTTGTGATTGGCTCATGCATCCTTGGACACTGCCCTAGCAGCAATTTTTTGGCATATGAAAATGCTCACAGAGAGGAGTAACAGGGGTCTTAAAAGCTTTGTGAGCAGCTATCTAAGGTACAACTATTGGGCTCTCCCTGTCCAAAGCAAAGCAGAGTGAAGAAAATCAAAGATGCAGGGAAACAATTAGTCCAAAGGGTAATGAACCATGTTAACCCCAGTCTCCATGACCCTGAGACCAAAATGTCCCTGGCTACCACTATTGACTGCTGTGGATAGAACGGGAGGAAAAGGTGGAACAAAACCCAAAATTATATAAAAGATCAGGCTTACTGGTTTGATAGAGACTAGTGGAACCCCTGAGGTGAAGGCCCATAGTTGTCACTTACACCAGGAACTGAACTCACTCGTATGACTCAATTTTAGCCAAACACTACAGGCCTATAAGGTAAACAGTAATACTATTGTTAGCATTATTGTTTCCCTAGAACACCCCACCATAGGAGATTAAAAGGCAGCATTTGCCTGGGGATTAAGCTCAGAAGGCTGGAAGGGATCAGAAAGGAAGACAAACAGTGATGGTAAACAGAGGGAGGAAATGAAGAGTGCTGTGGGGATTGCGATCAATGTCACAAAGCACAATATATATGAGTTGTTGAATGCAAAGCCAATTTGCTTAGTAAACTTTAGCCCAATTCACAAATAAAAAGTTTTTAAAAAGTGTTGAGTCTTACAGAAGGTTGAAGATATCTATATTAAACCAGTTCTCTACAGAATTAGTTTTTAGGAAACTATGATAGTCTTAAAGATAAATAGGACCCAGAGAAGCAGTGATGCCTGAGATGGAGGCAGAGACAATGACGGGGAACAATGGAGCAGCTGGGGACTTTAGATCTAGAGAGGGAGAGCGACTGTGTGCTGAAGACTTAAGGGGGGGAGGGGCAGGAATAGCGTAGGGGGCAGGCTTGCAGAGTATACCCTTTGGTCGGTTGATGACATGGAGGGGATTGTAACCATGGCAATGATACGATGTATGATAGAATGAATGTAAAACAAATGTTCTCCCATGTAAACTATCATAATTCACAATAAAATACTTAAAAAAAAAAAAAAGATAAATGGGAACCTGAGATTGTTTATAACCAGGAGCTCAGTAAAATATATGAGTGCATCTTACAGATATATTAATGAGTTAATATGGTACTCAGTCTTATTGGGTTGGACATACATGAGGGACCCATCTGCCACAGGACTTGAGTTTGCAGTTGGGTTTATTTAGTGCCTTCATCCTTGATTTGGGATGGTGGAATTAGCAGCCTGTTCATTATAGACTCTAGTTGGTTAGGGCTGCTCATATCTCAAAAGTGAAGAAAATGGAATTAAATTTTTTAAATTAGAGAAATGGACTGTCTACATAGGATAATTATTTGATTACCCAAATGCAAGGAAATACAAATGGTGATTAACATGGAAGCAGGCCAGGATTGGACACCACTGGAGTAAGCAGACATAAAGTATGTTTTGAGAAAAATAACAGCGCCATGCAGGGCGTCAGCAGTGCCTCAGCCGTCATCTTGATACTGAAGTCTGTGGTAGCATATACTGAAGCCAGTTAAAAGGATGGTAGGCCAAAGCTGGGAATTAGCCCTGTTATGTCTTAGGTTTCTTATGACTATTTAGAGTTCCTATATGACTAAACATTTTGGGTTTTCACATTTTGAGAAACATTTTGAGAAGAATGTGGATTCTGAATCAAGAAAAAACAGTAAAATGAATATTGTTGTTGTTACGTGCCGTGGAGTTGGTTCCGACTCATAGCGACCCTGTACAGGGTTTCCGAGGCTGTAAATCTTTACAGGAGCAGAAAGCCTCATCTTTCTCCCGCGCAATAGCTGATAGTTTCGAACAGCTGACCTTGTGGTTCGCAGCCCGATTCGTAACCACTACGCTACCAGAGCTCCTTAAATAAAATGAATAGGCTGGAAAAATAAGACCTATACAAAGGTGTAAGAAAGACGCTTCAGTGGGAAGGAGGGCACCAGATGGAGGGACCACCTCTGCAAGGGTGTCTGTTCTCCCAGCATTTATCACAATGCATGAGGGAGAGGGAGTGGTCTGTGTTGAAGTTTCTGTGATGAGTTTTTTATTTGTGATAAAATTTCAATTAATTAAAATGTAATTTCCCAGAACACCTAATTAATTAAAATCTCTAATGTCTTGCTTTTCTTTTTCTTTCTTTTTTTAAATGTGTTATTTATATATGAGAGAAGCAGATGACAAGAAACAAGCTCAAATTAGCTATTTGGTCAAAAGAAGCAATTTGTAATTGCCTAGGGTCATTACAGCTTCAGCCTCATCTCTCATATCTTCTGCTTCACCCTCAAGACTGTAGCGCAGTCATTGATGTTCAGTGTCCTGAGGTACTTCAAGATCATCAAAGGTAGATAGTTTTCCATGAAAAGGTTGAAAGCAGATTTTCTGGCTAACCTTCATTTAAATTAATTTTCAATAAAAACAAAAAAACATAACTTTGAGCATTCAAAATGTTAGTGTACAAGGGGTAAAAAATACTGATAAAGGGGAATTTTCAAGGCTAATTATAAAAAGTGCTGATCAGCTATTCATTTTCACAGAAGACAGAGCTAAAAGAAATGGGCTGAGTTTGTTAGCAGGAGAGATTAGATGTAAGGAAAAACTTTTTGACTGGGTAATAGTTACTGGAATTGGAATACATCACTGTGGGAAGGAGTGTGTCCGTCCCTCTGAATAGTCCCATGACTGAAAGTCTTAGTTAATGCAGCTCTTTCAAGAACCTTTGCTGCTTGTAGGTCTAGGGTGTACTTGCATTCCTCATCATGCCCATCCTTCCCGCTCTTGTCCTTCTTTTGGCAGCATTCTATAAGTCACAAGATAGATCTCTTTCTGACCCATGGGGAGGCCCTTGACCTTATCTTTGGGACACATTGCTGGTGGAGATAGGAAATGGGGAGTGGGAAAGGGAATAGTAAGAAGCCAGGCATAAAGTAGCAAATGAGAAGGCAACCAGGAGTAATTATTGATGATCTTGGTTACTTGTTTTTTTATATAGAATTTTTAGAAATACCTCCCTTCAACAAGCAGTATACAGAATCCCAGCTTCGAGCAGGAGCTGGCTATATCCTTGAAGACTTCAATGAAGCCCAGGTGAGGAGTTTCTTCACATAGCCTCTCTGAGTGGCAATGAGAAGAGTTCATTTACTGTACTGAGAAGAAGCCGAAGAGGGCTCAGGGAAGGTTGGGTAAAGTAGCCATGTCTCAAAACTGGGAAATTGCCAGGAAGTTATTGTATGAAATAGGATTTTTATTATGTTAGAACCTTGACTTAATTAAGGGCACTGGTTCTGTTGCTGGGACAAAAACAGATAGAAATTTGTTTTGTAGAAATCGTGATTAAAGTTGCTGATTCTTAGCCTGAAATAATGTGACTTGGTTATCCCTTGAGGATTTAGGATCCCTGGTGATGCAGTTAAAGCACTCAGCTGCTAAGTGAAAGGTTGGTAGTTCAAACCCACTAGCCACTCAGAGAAAGCTGTGGCAGTCTGCTTCCATAAAGATGTACAGTCTCAGAGAACCTCTGGGGCAGTTCTGTCATGTCCTTTAAGGTGGTTATGAGTTAGAATCAACTTGAAACGGTTTTTAAGGAGTTAGGCCTCTAGAAAGCTGTAGGTGAGGCAGGGAGATGTCTAGGGAACCCATATGAGTCTTTGAGCTAGGTTAGGAACCTTGCTTGGCAGGACAGCTGAATCACATTTTGGATAGCACTTGGAAGACTTCAGATCCTGTTCTCTATAGCTCATTAGGGCTGCTCTTCAGGGGGCTTTCCATAGAAGTCTCCAGATCCATAGTCTCCATCTCTTTCTTCTAGTGTAACACAGCCTACCAGTGTCTTCTAATTGCGGATCAGCATTGTCGAACCCGGAAGTACTTCCTGTGCCTTGCCAGTGGGATTCCCTGTGTGTCTCATGTCTGGGTCCATGACAGTTGCCATGCCAACCAGCTCCAGAATTACCACAATTACTTGTTGCCAGCTGGGTACAGCCTTGAGGAGCAAAGAATTCTGGATTGGTGAGTTTGAGATCTCATTTAGAACTATGTAGACAGGAAGACAGCAAGCTTTTGGAGTGGAGAAATCAGGTGCGAGAACAAGTGTTACAGAAACGGCAACTAACAAAGGGTAAATTACAGAATCTGAATGGATATGAAATAATTTCAGCAGTTCACCTAGTTTATTTCCCTAGGATGTATTGTTTGAGACCTTTTGAAAATGTGTGAGGATTTGTATATAGATTCAGTATTTTCAACCTGTAAGGTTAGGGAACCAAGTTTCAAGCAAGACTATAAAACAATACAGGCTCCAGGATATGATTTGGATTACTAATGCCCCAGGACAAATATGGAAGTCAGAAGGGTTCCCATGCCCTCTGGTGATCATTCACGAAGGAGGGGAGCTTGAGGTGGGAGGAGTATGGGTGCCGTAATACAAGACTTAATTCTGCAAACATTCAGATATACTTGAGCCTCTTTGCAAAGAGGCTTTTTGTTGAATATTACCTGTCATGCTAAGTCCTTCGAATTCCAACTTGTTAGGTCTCTGGCTTTCTCATAGGCAACCCCGAGAAAACCCTTTCCAGAATTTGAAGGTACTCTTGGTATCAGATCAACAACAAAACTTTCTGGAGCTCTGGTCTGAAATCCTCATGACTGGAGGGGCAGCCTCTGTCAAGCAGCATCACTCAAGTGCCCATAACAAAGGTACCTGAAAAGTGTGTGTGTATATGTGCACGCATGCATGTGTGTGTACTCCAAGGATGTCCTTGTGGTCTGTCTCAACCCTAATAGGCTGACCTTATCCATGTTTCTGAGAGAAGAAAAGTACCACATTCAAGAGATGAGCCAATATAAATTGAGCATCCGACTTACTCTTCTACTGGTTTTCAGTGGTGTGTTTGCTAAGCTTTTCTACAAGGCCAGCATATAGTGATAGCTTTCCGCTTTTGATCATGATCATAACATGAAGTTAGGCATAAAAGGGCTTTAGCTTGATCACGGTGGATGTATTGGCTAAAGGGCATTGTTACTAAGTGCCCTCAAGTCAGTTCTGATGCATAGTGACCCTGTCTGTATAGGATTTCCGAGGAAGGCTGGTGGGTTTGAACCACCAACCTTGTGTGGTTCAAACTGACCTTATGGCCCACTGTATTACCCTGCAGTGCCACATCATAGTTTTTCTTTTAATGGAGGGCTGAATTGCATTTCTTTTCCTCATTCCATTTCTCCCATTCTTACAGATATTGCTTTAGGGGTATTTGACGTGGTGGTGACAGATCCTTCATGCCCAGCCTCAGTGCTGAAGTGTGCAGAAGCTTTGCGGTTGCCTGTGGTGTCACAAGAGTGGGTGATCCAGTGCCTCATTGTTGGGGGTAGGATTGGATTCAAACAGCACCCAAAATACAAGCACGATTATGTTTCTCACTAAAGATATTTGGTCTTACCGGTTTTATTCCCTGCTGTTGTGAAGATTGTGTTTTAACCAGGTTTTAAATGTGTCTTGTGTGTAACTGGATTCCTTGCATGGATCTTGTATATAGTTTTATTTGCTGGACTTTTATGATAAAATAAATGTTGAATCTCTTTGGTTGTAATAACTGGGAGTTCTTTATCCAATTCTTTGAGCTTAATCTCAGAACAAACCCCAAGACAAGATGTAGTACCTTCTCTGAGGCTTTCAGTTGGCTTGTTCACTTTAGCAGAGCACCTATTAAGGGGTGAATTTTTAAAGTTTCTGTGACATTTTAATTGCCAAAAGGTTTTACTAGAATATCTAAAATTCTGTACTTCTAAACACTTGATTTTAAAATAGGTGAGAGCCCAGATTAATAGTTATGACAAAAGTTGAGTGGAATAGGGCGCGCACTTGTAAGTTTACTGACAGTTTAAAGACAATGTCTCTAGCTGAATGCACCAACAAATTTTAGAGCTGGAGAGGAAAAAGGATTAACTGCTGTAATAACTTTCTCCAAGAATAAAGGTGAGAGCAATTGAAATGTTAAAAGCTCTAGCTAGAGAGGTCCAGTAGTTTATCATCACCATTGGAGTTGCTGGAAGCCATTCCTTCCTTATCCACAGCATCATCTTCACATTCACTCAGTTTCTAAAGCAGAGGTCAACATTTTTTTTTTTCTGTAAAGGGCTATTAGATAGTATTTTAGGCTTTGTGGGCCATTTGGTCTGTTGTAACTACTCGCTTTTGCTGTTGTAGCTTGAAAACAGCCGTAAGTAATAATAAATGATTGTGGAATAAATGATTGTGGCTGTGTTTCAATAAGATTTTATAAAAACAGGTAGCAGGTTCTAGTTGCCAGCCCTAGCAGTGGAAGGGGCTGCCTTAGCTGGTAACAGTAGGGAGGAAAGGTGTACAGTGAGCAGAGGACCAGATTCAGTGGTCATAAACTGAGGCCTGTACAATGCATTCTTTGTATGTTTAGAGAGGGTTTTTCAATGAATATTTATTTTGGGTCATACCACCACGCATAGGGATAATTGGGTTTGTAGCTTTCAGAATTGGAAAGCTGGTAGTTTGACCTCAAGTTTTTCTTAATGACCATTTCTTGGGAAAGAGAAGTACTTGAAATACATTTTCATTAACTAGACTTAACCCATTTATCAGTCTGAAATAAGAATTTCAGGAAAATTAGAAATTATTGGCAAAATTTCTAATTCACAGTTTTGAATATTCTTGAGTGGAAAACTCAAATCTCCTGAAGGAAGAAAAATAATCTGTGCGCATGAATTATTTCTTCTGGAAAGATCAGCACAGGCTGGTCCCTATGAGGTGGAGGTTAAAGATGTTGATTTCCAACATCTTCTGGTGATGGTAGTGTGCTGTCCAGTCAATTCTGACCATAGTGACCTTATACAAGGTTCCCAAGGCTATCCGTCTTTAAGGGAGCAAGAGCAGTAAGCCTCATCTTCTACCTCGAAGCAGTTGGTGGATTCTTAACTGCTGATCTTGCAGTTAGCAGCCCAACTTGTAACGTACTATGGCACCAGGACTCCTTTCAACATGTCATACCACAATTCCTTAATACCTACCTATCACTACTCCTCCCCTCCCTCCTGTCCCAGGGTTCTGCAACACTCTGTTTAACATCTCACAGAACTTACAACTGTCAAGGAAATGGTTCACACAATTGTGGAGACTGGCAAGTTCCAAATCCGTAGTTCAGAGGTCAGCCTGAAGGATTCTTCTAATCCATGCATCCTTAGGAGCTGAGGAACCCAAACTGACAGTCCAGACGACAGGCTGTTGATGCATGAGGCTGTGGGAGCTGGTGACTCAGGTCAGGTGATAGATGACAAGTCTCAAGAACTGGAGATCCGATATGATGAGCCAGAAACAAGACCCAAGAGCAACAGCGCGAACTTTGCCAAAGTAGTTCTTTGTACTGGACTCAGACCATGCCCCAAAGGAAAACTAAGAGTGGTGACTTGAGTCACACCCGCTACTACAGCAGGGGCATTCTTAATCCTTACTCCTTCTTGTTGTTAAGTGTCCGTTCTGATTCTACCATCCTACCTCTTTAGTACCACCAAGTTGGTTCCATTCTAACTCATAGCAGCCCTGTATAGGGTTTCTGAAGCTCTAAATCTTCAAAGGAACACACTCTCATCTCTCTTCCATGGAGTGGCTGGTGGGCTTGAACCATAGACTTTGTGGTTTGCAGTCCAGTGCTTGCATTATGAATGAGTTCTGTTCCTAAGTCGAATTTGTACAAGTCTGAACAGTTATGTACAGTTCATATGTAACGTCAGCCAGTCAAATATTTGTATCGTAGTATTATATCATCAAGTGCCACTTAATCAGTTCCGACTCACAGCAACCTTGAACAGTTTCCAAGGAGAGCAGCTGGTGGCTTTGAACTACCTTATGCTACCTTATGGGTAGCAGTCTAGTACTGACCCTACAGAGCCAAACTAGGATATACAAAAGTATCTTTAACATAATAACACAGCAGTAGTATGTTTTGATGCATGTCTCAAAGTAGTGTCCATTTGTTATTACAAACCATTGTCTGAAACTCTCATTTTTAATATAAAATACTTTATGATGGTTGGTTTCTCACTGTGGGCTTGTACTCCTATATAAATAGCATAACCTAGGGACTGTTTACAATTCCTTTTTTACAAATGAGCCACAAAGTAGTTAGTTACCTTTCTGATCCATGTTTATTACTGTTGTATCTTCCACAGTTTGATTAGTCTCTAGGTACATATAGTAAGGTCTCAATAAATGACTGCTGAATAAATGGACATATCCAACAAATGTTCCAGATGTAGCACAGGCAACTTGCACGGCCAGCAAGGAATACCTGACTCAACATGTCTCCTCTGTGGATGAAGCATGAACTCCTGAGGTGTGGCAGACCCCTCCCACATGGGGATAATGGGGATGGCTTGTACCTCTAGATATTCAGTAATTGTCCTAGGAGAAAAGATAGACTCCTCTCTAGGCTGCAGACATTTGGTGACAGGCTAGAAAATGAGATGCTGTTTTGAATCTTCTCTGACTTGGAAATGGGGTGAGACTGATTGTCATTTTGGTTTATACACAGAAAATTTCACATCCCAAAACTACAAGGGGAAAAAAAAACAAACCTCATTAAGTATCATGCTTCTCCAAGATTGTCTTCAAAGAAATATGGATCAGAGCAATTTAGTTTGTCATTTTAAACCTCAAAAGATAGTTTGAGAGGAAAAAAAGACAGTTTTGTAAACTCTTGCTATAATCTCTTAAAAAGAACATGCTTGAGTAAAAAGATGGGACAACCAAGTGCTTTTCTATGTGGGGATGAAAGTAGCAGAGCTGAAGCAACTTTTTTATGTTGCCCACTTCTACTAAATCTCACACTTAGATTTTTAAAAGTCTTTCATTGATGAGGAAGCTGGGAGTCAGCGAGGTAAAGCTGCACAACTAGTTAATGTCAGAATTGGGACTTGAAGCCACACTGGCTCCCAGGTAGCAACACACAGCTTAGGAAAGAAAACCCATGTCATTGCCAGGTGTTGTGTTATTTTACCATGATGATTGTACTAGAAAATGATGCCTTCCCACAGAGTCGATTCCAACTCAAAGCCACCCAGTAGGACAGAGTAGAACTGCCCACCCCCACCCCCCCATACACACATACAGCGTGTCCAACCCTAATCCCTATGGAGCAGCTGATGGGTTTAAACCATGATCCTTCTGATTAGCAGCCAAGCACCTAATTCACTGGGCCACCAGGGCTCCTTTTATTTAAAAAAACCCTTTTTCTGTCTTAGCTTTAGTGCCTCTGCTTATAAAATGAGGGTATTTGGACTAGATAATAGCTAAAGTCTAACTTTCAACCCTGGATAGAAACAAAACTACCAAAAACATTGACTGAGTTCCCCAAGGGTTGTGCCTACCTGCCTAGAGTTCCACCAGCCTGGGTGTAGTATTTGTTATAATCTAGTCGTAACAGTAGTTGAGCCAAATCTGAGTTGATCTGATGATTCCGAACACTGGAAAGAATCTTGAAAAGGAGAGAAGACTGGCGGCTAAAGCCCTGTAAAGAGAAGAACTCTGCTGTCATCCTGTTAAACTCACAAGTGCTCTTTGTGTAAAGTATGTGTGTTCTTTACATAAAGTGTGTGTGCTCTTCATGTAAAGTGTGTTCTTCACGTGAAGTGGGTGTGCTCTTGATGGTAAGTTGTGTGTTTTTCAAGTAGTTTTGTGTGCTCTTGATGTAAAATGTGCTCTTCATGTAAAGTATGTTCTTCACGTGAAGTGTGTGCTTCATGTAGTGTGAACTCTTCATGTGTTTGTCATGTAAAGTTGTGTGTGTGCTCTTCATGTAAAGTTGTGTGTTCATTCTCAGTAGGAATTTAGCAGCTAGTTTCAAATTAATGTGTTTTGTTGTGTACAGGGTCTGGGAGAGCCTGAGTGTTTTTGTTACAGGCAGATAATTATAATCTCAGTGAAATAAGGGGTTAGTCAAGGAAGTAAGGAGAAAGGAAGTAAGAAAATAAAACTAAGCCAATGCATATTTAAATAAACTATTCAAGGCAGAACTATTTTTGAATGCAAGGAGGTGGCACATAATTATGTGCTTCAAAATCAACTGGTATCAACATTTTTATCTTTGTATCCTCTTGTTTCTGTGTGCATGTATTGAGGAAATGCTTTATTGACTCAGAGGGCAAGGTCATGAAATCACCATTGGCAAACCAGCTCTAGCCTTTTTGACAAGGCTGCACATCTCAAATGGCCTTCAAATGGCCAGGCCGACTCACCTTCACAAGAATACTCAGCTGTGCAGCTCCACGCTCATCCAGTGGGCCTAGGTTCTGGCTGACCAGCGAGCAAAAACTATGACAGAGATCTAGGATTTCATTTAGGCAGTGAAACACCTACCAAAGAAACAGAGCTGGCATTAGGAAGGGAATGCACTGGTGAAATTAAAGATTTGGGGAAACCTAGGGAACTGGCTTATTTCCCACATGTTCTCCCACATCTGATTTTTAAGTTATACATTGCCACCTTCCATTCTTCTGTCAGCCTCTCAAAATTGGAAGTGCCAGCTACTTGTGTAATCCCCTTCCTATCAAAAATGCTATCATTCTCTTTGTCACCTCTGCATACCTCTATTCTACCCACCTTAAACTAGTTGTCATTCCTTGGACCCACTGAGTATGTTCCTGCCTACAGGCTCTCTATCTAGTGTGGTTTCTGTAACTTGGATGTTGTTGAGTGCTTTTGACCCACAGCGACCTCGTATAGGGTTTCCTAGGAGCGACTGGTGAGCTTGAACTACCGACCTTGCGGTTCAAACCGACTTTGCAGTCCCCAGCCATTAACCCACAGTGCCACACCAGAAGTCTTGGATACTTTCCCCTTTGGTAACGGTTCAGTGCTCTTAGTGAAGCATTCCCGTCCCACCACAGCCTTTAGTGAGTCCCCATTTCTCCATTATCTTGACAGTTTTTCAGGCCTTCTTTATTGTTAACTGCTTTATATGTGTGTGTGTTCTGCCTCTCCAACTAGACTGTAAACTCATTAAGGGAAGAGCTATACTTCGACGTCTTTGTCCCAAGGGCCTGGCACACAGTAAACACTGAACAGATACTGATGGGACTTGCTCTGATATTCTGCTTTCCTCCAAGGATGTAGTCTTGCCAACCAAGGCTGGGACTCTACCTACCACAATGGTTCTCAGTTATTTTCAATTCACAGAACACTTTGAAACAGTACCTACAGAACTCACTAGGTGTAGCAAAAATATCCCCAAATATCAGAACAAAAGAGAAGTCTCTAGTGTTCTGGTGTGGCATGACCAAGGATAACAATTCACACAAAAGGTGAAGCATGAGTTGTTATAGACAGAACTATACAAGGATCAAAAGGAGCTCTGGTAGCGTAGTGATTACGAATCGGGCTGTGAGCCGCAAGATCAGCAGTTCGAAACTACCAGCTTTTTCGCGGGAGAAAGATGAGGCTTTCTGCTCCCATAAAGATTTACAGCCTTGGAAACCCTGAACAGGGTCATTATGAGTTGGAACCGACTACACGGCACATAACAACAACATACAAGGGAGCATTGCATTTCAGTCTTCTGCTTTTTACCCTGAAATTGGAACTACCTGTGAGCTTTGAAAAATACTGATGCCTGGATCCCATTCCAGAGACTAGGTGGTCTGGGTCTCAGATTTTGAAAAGTCCCCCAAATGACTCCATTGTACAGCCCAGTTTTATACTGACTACCCTAAATGAAGGTGCCACACACTATGACCATTGCAACCACCACCACTACTCCAGTTGTCGTGTGAAAACACCTTTCAAAACTCATCTATCCTGGTCCAGCGGTTTCTAAAAATATTTCTGTATGCTTTGTAGTCTACCTGTGGTATAAGAAAGATTTTTAATTTAAATCCTTCCTTATGGTACATGTCTATAGTTGCTCACTACCCTTGATTATGTAATGTTCTAAGACCTTTAAGTTCCCCTTTAAATTTTGCTTTTTAAGTTGTTTAAAATGCTTTAAAGTGGGGATTGAACAATTACTTAAGAATAGTTCCATATCTTTTCAACTCAAAGAGTACCAGGGAATAGTGCTAGAAGCAGCCTGAAGACACCAATCGGCCCTACTTACAGGTTTCAGCAAGATAAAGGACTGAGCCAGCAAATTGCTCAGGAAGTGGTCGTGAGCCAATCGGATGCTTTCAAAGTCTCGGGTAGAATTGATCTGATGAAGCAGCTGTGAGAACTGAGACTCCAGCACATCCACCTGGTAGACAGTTACCTAATTTTAGCACTTTGCATAATCTCATTACTCAGGACAAATGAGAAGCCTGACAGGATGGAGAACATTTCTGCCCCCTCTTATCTTCCTCCTAACCAAGCCACTTTAAGGTTGACCAGATACACCCTAATTTTGCCTTGCTTTGCAGAAAATTATTTGCCTAAGTCCAAATAACCTCTGTTATCTTGGCAGACCTCCTTTAACCCAATTCATGCATGCCACATCCCCTCTACCAACTGACTTGCTTAAATCCTGTCAGACTCCAGAAGTTAAGCAAACTATAAAAATGATGGTCCAACAACAGTAATGAATGCTGATAAAGAGCCTATTCCTTATTCTCCTTCATCCATTTATTTTCACTTTCCTCTAAAACTCCCCCAAGACACACACCTAGACACATAGTCCCCGTATGTTCTCCAACCTCAACATTATACCAAATGCAGGGCTGCAGTGCCTCCTGCCAGCCCATCAACTGCTTGTCATACTCCTTACAGAACTCTACTCATCCCTCAGTACAGACCTGGAGATAGTACTGAAGATTATCCACCAAGAATGCCATGTGATTTCGTAAGCGCCATTTGACTGCATCAGTCTGGTTGGACTTGAGGTGCTTTCGCTGCATTTGCAGGGCCCAGCAATGTTGCAGTTGAGCTTGTACCCGGCGCACACTCAGCAAATACTTGAAAACAACATTGTACCTGGGCAGAGATGTCAGGCTGTTTGAGATCACCCCACCCTCAGAAGAGACCCTACACCTTTATGCCATCTACTTCTACTTTAAAAAGGCAGGAAGAAAAGAATGGCTAGAGATGTAGACAACTAACCTGTGGTTTATTTACACAATGGAATATGACAGAACAGCCCAAATGAATGACTTACAAACTATCCAACACAACAAAATGAATTGCAATGTGATTTGGAATTTTAAAAAGTCAATCTTGGGGGTGATAAAAGCCCGAAGTGACTGGCTTACAAGTTGTCAAGAGGGAGTTTAAGAGTGGGGTAGGGGAGATAAAAGCCCCCACTGAATAGTTTTCATCTTGTCTAGATGGGTCTGGTGAAGTGAGATGGGGATAAAATCTTTATGATTCAATAGTGAATAACTGTTACCATGACTAATTGCGACTGTCACAACTGTAAAGGTAGAAGTTTTGTAAAAAAAAAAATGGGGGAGTACTTAATCTTACAGTCCAGAAACAAAGGACCCTGGGACCATCAAGGGAGAAGAGCACAACTAGAATGCAGGACCTTATCCAGAGAAGCAGCGACATCAGAGATGGAGGTAGAGATGGGGACATGGAGCGAGGGAGCAGCTGAGGACTCTAGACTCATGGAAAGAAGGGGAATGAGTGCTGGTGGCCAGGAGGCAGACTTGCAGAATGTGCCTCTTGAATGTTTAAATGCTTATATATTCCTGAATGTACATTCCCCCAACCCCACCCAAAAAAGGGAAAAAAACAAGGGAAGCAAATATGGTTCAATGATGATGCACGGAGGAGATGGTAATCATTGCAATGAAATGGTGGTGTAAAAAAAAAAATGTTCTCCCATGTAAACTATCACTCAGTTCACACACACACACACACACACAAATTCACTCTTAGATGATTATAGACAGCGTGACACCCCTTTTTTATAATGCTTAAAATAACTAAGAGCAAATACATCCATATTATACTTTTGTTGTTAAGTGCCGCTGAGTTGGTTCCGACTCACAGCAGCCTTGTATAGGGTTTCTGAGGAGCGGCTGGTGGATTTGAACCATCAACCTTACAGCTCAAACTGACCAGTGCATTATCTTACAGCACCACACCAGGGAGAATATAAAAGGAAAGAAAGAATACATGAGATTTAAGACAGTGGTTACCTTGTGAGAGAAGTAAGGTAGCTGGGGAGGATCACATGGGCAGATGGACATTATTGTCCTTGTTTTTGTACTGGGATGTAATTTTATGGCTAGTCTGTATGTATATATTACGGATGGAGGTAGATTCTTATGTATTCCAGTAATTAGAGTGTTATGGACCAGGGAGGGTGACTGTTCTCAGTCCCTGAAGCCCAAAGAGCAAACTCCTATCTCACAGCAAGTTCGTGGGGGCTAACTCGGGGGAGAAGCTGTACTGAGAAGACAAATGAAAAGAGAAGCTTATCTATAGTTGCTTGTTCTTAGGCAGGCTTACTGAAGAAAATTTGATTCTATTTGTTTTTTAAATTATTTCTATAGAACAAACAAATCAAAATAGTAGACCTTAGTTGTATCCAGATTTGAAGAAACACAACCATAAAAAGACATTTTTCAAAGAAATGAGGGAAATCTCAATGTAGACTGTTGTTGTTGTTAAGTGCCGTCGAGTCGGTTCCGACCCAT